TATTGTCATTTATTTTCTTAGGCATACAAGAATAGCTAGGGAATACAAAGTAGCCCTAGCCATATTCCATATTAAAGGGAAAGTTTGGATATTCTAAGAGAGGTTCCTTACCCGGAGTGTCATTGCTTTGAGTTCATAGACTAACAGCTAGTAAGACCACATTTTAGTTCATATTTATCTCATGAAATGGTGTGAAAATGAGCATTAGTGAATATGAACTCCAGTCTTCAGAAGCTGGTGCTTGAGGTCTAGCATGAAGCGCATCCCAGCTCATTCAAATTCATCAAGACCTGCGGAGGCCTGCTAAGTAACTAGTCATTTGATTCAGGTTTGCTGAACCAGGAAAACATGTTCAGCATACAGGAAAACAGCTATTGAGGAATGAAGTGCTATAGTTCTCTGGTGGCTGTTGCTAAGTTTGTGTCTGTCTCACTTAGTCAAACTATGCAACATCTGTCCTCAGCAGTTCTTTCTAAGTCTGACAAAGTGTATGAAAGGTTGGGATTGTGCATTTGGGTGTCATTCATGCAATGGCAATGGTGGTATGTTCCAGTAACTTTTCACTTCTGAAGTAACAGATTGGGAGATTTCAAACAAATACCAATGTCTTCAGCAATTATAGACAACATTGTAAATACATTTCGCAGCTTCAGTAAGCAAATGTAATTACTTTGTGTGTAAAATGCAAAAAGTGGTGAAGTTTGGGTGTCGACAATAAGTATTCCTCTTTTGATTGAAATATTTTAGCCACAAATTGATCTGGCTTCAATTTAAGGACTGAGGCAATACTTAAAATGTAGCATTTTCTGTCTCACTAGAAAACTGGACACTGTGCAGCTACTCAGTTAACAATAATTGTAAAATGTGTGTTCTTGGATGATAAACATTTTGTTGTATTATGGGCTGATGTTAAAATAATTTTCTTGAGTCAACAGGCATAATTTGTTAAGAAAAAAAAAAAAGAATGTGTTTCACTAGGTCAGAGTTCACTAGGTCAGACTAATCAGACCAATCCAGGGGAACCCAAAGTCGGTCCTCAAGGGCTGGCATCCTGCCCTTGAGTAGCAACATCCTTTTCAGCATGAGCCATCATTGGAGCCAGGTGTGTTAAATCAGGAAGAGAACTAAAACATGCAGGTTGCCAGCCCTCGAGGACCGACTTTGTGCACCACTGCCCTAATCCAACCACTCTCAGTCAGCACTTAGCAGATTGTGCCCAATATTACTGATGATGCCTTTTACATTCTCTCCATCATCTGTGAAAAAATTTCCAATGCATATTTGTCTTAGCATTTTTTTACAGCTATTTTTGCTCTATAATTACATGCTACGCCACAGTTGGGGGAACCATGAAGACTCCAGCGCACACATCATGTCAGTATGACATGAGCCCCGCTGATTCGGTGATTCTTCAGACTTAATGAGCTATTGAGAGATAATTGCTCCTTCAGGGCAGCCGTAGCTGACACCAGTGACTCCAGCATGCCATTCAGTCAAACCACTGATGGCTTCAGTCTCACTCCAGGCTCTATTTAATGTCAGAGATCACAAACAGTTGAATATAATCCCTGGTCGATCCACTTACTTCAACTCGTTCTTTTTTTCTAAGCTGCAAAGCACAGCAAGAAAAAAAAAACATACTCTGAGTTTTTAAGCGTGTGTTATGGGTCAGACTGAACGAAACATAATACACTTTGACAACGACAAGTTTATTTACAGGAAAACAACACTAAACCTGAAGGACAAAGTCTTATTGGATTAAACCCAAAAGCGAGAGCAATTTGGATTGATGTTGACAGCGCCGGGACACACTAGTTGCCGAGGGCATCTGATGTCTGAGGCTCGGAAAAGGCCCTCAATGCTGTGGCATGAAGTGATCCAAGGAATGGTTGGACTCCAAGTACAAGCTGTGTCCTTGTCCACCCTGACTGGGGTTTTGACCTCAGCAGGCAACAGACAGCAGCAAAAGGCCATGACACAGTCATGCACCGTGTTACAAAATTTTTTGAAGAAAATAAGCCAGACATTTGAAAGTTGTCTGAAATTGTTAGTAAGAAAGAAGAAAAATTATTTTCTTTTTGTGTGTTTTTGCACACAAATTTATTTTATTATTATTATTCATTTAATCATTCTACTCCTGGAAATGTATGTTACTTATTCATGATAAAAAGTAAAAACAAATATAAGTACGTTAAACTTCCGACTAGAGTTGTTTTGGATTTTTTTCCTTGGTAAATTGCAGGACATAAATATTTGACTAATTTCTAAACTTTAATCCACCGACTGGATGGGACTGTGCCTGACAGATGCACCGTTACCTTATTTGCATTCTGACAGCCGACTTTGACACATCGCTGCAAGCTGGCACACAAACGCCTGTCCTCTCTAAATTGCCTGCTAAGTAGCTTCGGGACATCAGCAGTCACCCGTGTTTTCTGTGAGCGAAGTGTTCATGTATTTCCAGCCTAGTTCCTCCAGTGGTTCACAGACACAAACTGCCTCTGCTATCAGGTGATGAAATCCAGCTGGCTTTTGCTCTGACCCTGTCAATCCATTTTTTTATTTATTCTTTTTACTTCAATGTCTCTGGTAAAAACAACAAGAAAACAAAAGCAAAATTCAGATGGCTCTGCTGACAATGTGACCCATTGGCTTTTTTGTGATGGGAAGTTGATGCCTTGTGTATGAGCTTTTGTCATCACATAGTGAACATTGTTTCCCTACTGCTTTGGTCGTGGGGTGGAGGTGTGCATCGATTCAAAATGCATCCAGAATTTTCAGATGACTCAGTATAAACCATAAATAAATGAGAAAACTTTTTGCTTTGTTCAGAATTGAATAACTCATGTGGTAATTTTATTTTTACAAAGCCAAAAGACGCCGCCTTTGTGGATTTGAAATTAATTAGCGGTGTTTAATGACAGCCGACATGGGCAGCGGATTAGTCATAAAGCAGCATGCTAGCATTTAGAGGCTTACAGGCAGTGCGGCTGCAGGAAGGAAGCTTTAGAGATCACATTTGACACTGGTGAGACAGCAGGACTGCAGGCGGTGAAACAATCTGTCAGCAAAGGTGGGATGAGGTTTGTTTCAAGGACTCTTCACTCAGGCACTCACTACTTCCTTTTATTTGTCGGCTAACAGGAATTCACCCGAAATATAGAATGTTTTGTTTTTTTCATCCCTCTTCCAGCAGTCAGATGGATTTTTTTTTACCTCACTATAACCATAAAGCAAACGCAGGTGCATGATAATTAGCATTTCTACCCAGAAGGCTGCAGAAAACTGTCTCCTCTCAAATGTGCCTCCCATGTTCAATAGATAACATTGACATAAATTTTACTATCCACTTCTACTTGAACCTTTTTAAAACCAACTCAAAAGTAGGAATGCAAGAAAAGGCAAAACCACATCATACAATGATGTGATGACATTTTTTTAAAATATTGAGCTAAAAATAGAAGATGCATCCATATTTTCATCATTCCTTTCATTCTACTGCACTTATGTCAAGTTTTCCAAACACTGTTGTATTTCCCTTCAGCTATAAATATTTGTCATTTTTGCCATATAATATTGAGGTCTAATTCAACACAGATGGCAAAATAAAGAATGCAAGCTTGATAAACACTTAAAAAAAAGAAACGTGTGAATGCAAAAACCACTGTAAGCCATGAATGAGGTGCATTCAACGTAATTCAGAAGTTTTGACTGGTCACTAAGGCATTTTAAAACTATTTACCCTTGATGAGCAGTGTGAAATTAAGATTTAATCTTACTTTGCAATCAAGTGTGAAGTTGAAAAAAAACCTTTTAAAGTAATAATTTATAGAACTCTAGCAATGATTGTGTATTCACTGTGTAAGTTCTACTTATTTTTCCTGGCTAAAGAACAACCAAAATATTGTAATTATTTTATGTAACTTATTATGTTTGTGTCCAAAAAAAAAAGTTAAATGAAAGAAAGTGATAGTGAAATTATTGGCAAAGACAGTATTTGGGTTGAAATCCTCCAAAAGCATCATTACTTTGTGCAAAATAATGATTTTGTTTATTAAAAGTTGGAAAGCTAACCATTTCCTGTTGCTGTATGCCACAAATAAGCAAATGAAACAATTTAGATTTCTACACATGCTAATGACTGGCTGTTTCTTTTTGTTTACTCCTGTGTGGTATCATAAAAAAAAACCCCATTCAAACAGAAGTTTACATTCACACTAATAACTTAAGGTTCTTTATTGGACAGGATTCAATGTATTAATTTGCATTTATAACAATATTAAAAATTAAAAAAACAGGAAACTTTGTGAAGATCTAAGAAAAATAATTGTAGATCTACACAAGGTGGACAAGTATTTGGAGCCATAATTGAAACTGGCAGCTGCCCACCTGCCAGTTACACCTGAACAAGACCAAATGGCTTGTGGAGAAAAGTGGCACCCACAGTGACAAAAAGTATATTTGAAGGAGTCAAGGTATTTCTTTAATAGCTGTCAAGCATGGTGATGTTAGCATTGTGATGTGTGACTGTCTGCTTGACACAGATCATTAATCTCAGCAGCTGGATGATTGTATTTGGTCACAGCTGGATGTTTCAGTACAGCAATAATCCCAAAACTGGTTTTGGAGGATAGAAGATGTTAACATTAAGTGCTTTCCATGTCATTTCCACGGTAAACAGCTAAATACTTTTAAAGTAACTTTAAAATTAAATAAAAACTAATACTGATTACTTGAAACACTTATGCTGGTCAAATGTGTCATTGTAATCTTTTCTCATTCCAGTTAATATCTTGGTCGCTTTTCTGAAGGAAGCAAGAAATTCATTGCAATGTTAAATAAAACAACGCAATAATGCAACCACATCTTAACAATAATAAAGGACAAGCAGTCCATGTCCTCGTGTTTACTCTCTCTCTGTGTGTGTGTGTGTGTGTGTGACAGATATTTCCTTCATTATATATTTGCAGTATGTCCAAACACATATCAGTCTCACTCACTTTCATGCTTTGAAGCTCCCCAGGTGTGTCGCGGGACGCCGGGGCTCTTAATGATCGCTCTGCCGGCAGATTTCAGGGCATCCATCTCGAGGTGTGTCCGCTCTCCGGCAGGTGGATTTCCCTCTGTCTCCGCACCACAGGGAGCTCAACGCGGCAGGCTGCGCGCCACTCGACGGCTGACCTCCCCACAGTGGAAAAGAACACGGGACGGGAGGAAAGGGCTTCAGGACTCTCCGCTCCTGTGTTCACTTCCCGGCGAAATGTGCAGCTGAGGGGAAAGAGACCCACGAATCCACTGCGCCGTTTCCAAACTTGAGGGCGTGTCCTCAACCTTCAGGAGCCACAGAGCTCCTGAAGGCTCCTCTTTACATGGATTGGCCCCCGTCTGACGAGGAATGAGGGCATGATTATGTTTGAAATGTTTTCATAACTTTATGGTTGAAAGTAAGTCTTGCACCATCGGATGTTTTTTTGCTGTTGTTGTTTTTAGTTTGGTATTTATTTTGTGACGTGTGTGCACAGGGTTGAGAATGGTTTCATGTATTGACTGGATTTAGACATTTGAAACAGTATTTCCTTGTTTTCCAGATCAGTGGAATAGCAGTGCACACATTATACTAAACGTGAAGTTTGTTCATTTTTTGTGCCTAATCCGTTCAATGTTTCTAGTTGCTTTGTTTTTGCGCCATCTAGCGACGGTAAGGGTTTTCTGCATTTTGAAAGAAAAGATTTTCTATTAGACTTTATAGGTTTTACTATTTTAAAATAATTGTATTTTCATGAAAAATGTAGAAATAAACTTTACGCTTCTGTAAAATGCGTTAACCGCTTGCAAAGATAAAATATCCACCTTATCCAGCAAACTAACCTGAAAGATATTAAATTTATTCTTACTTTATAGCTTGAACGTTTTGGATAAATTAAAATATGTTTGGAAATTAAAAGATAAAATAACGTTTTCTTGTTTCTTTGATGCTATTTTTATGAAATGCTTCAGAAATGTTGTCACCATAAAAAAAATATTTCTTTTTTGATAGGTATTTAAAAGCAAAAAAACAGTCAGAATTAAGGATGTGATCATTGAAATAGTTGCACCTATTGTTTTAATGACTGGATTCTTGATCAACCAACTCAAATTATTTATTGACAGGTAAGTCCTTTTACCTACATTTACATCACACATGAACCCGTTCACTCAGATGTGATAGTCTGGTTTCCTGAGTTTGTACAATGGCATTTCTGCATTGGTGCTTTTCCAATGTGTTTCAATATTTAAAAATGAAGGTGAGAAAATTGTGCAACATTTGTCCCTGAACAGGTCTCCATTTAATTTTATGGAAACTCAAACGTACACCCCACACCAAATGTACATGTGTACTCCCCAACACATGTTTTAAGTGGGGGGGATGAGAGCGGGATGCCTGGAAAAGTCACATTTGTGCAGAAAAATAAACAAGCTCCATGCAAAAAGATGCTGACAGAAATTCAAACCCAAGACCTCTGTGAGGTCAAAGTGCTAACAACTGCACCACCGTGCTGTTCTCATTTCAGCCACATCACGGCAGATTCCCACTGTTTTAAATAAATGTTTACCAGGATTGCCAGCCATCAAAACCTGCCACCTCTTTGATCTACAAAAGACCCAATAAGAAAACACAAAGCAGCCCAACTCCACCAAAGAAACATAAAAACCTTGTAAGAAACACACATTCTGTATTTATCCTTCAAAGTGAGATCTTTATTCAGTTTCTGTCGATAACCCAGAAGAGGCTTTCATGTCAAGACCACGTTCAGAATTATTTCACACCCTGGAAGTTAAGCAATGCATGTAAGTCAGGTAATCCTCACAAATCATCTGGAGGGGATGGTTCCAGTTTTTTCATGCTGCTGTTGTAAATCTGGTGACCTCAGAGGGTGACTGGAGTATATTGTTTTCGGTAGCGCACTACTGCAGCTATGCTAAGTGGTGCGTCAGAGGATCTGTGTAGGTTATTGTGAAATGCTGCCACTTCTACAGAGCTGCAAAAAGTTAAGACTGTGGTGTTTCTGCTCTGTGGCTTTGCATTAAAGTGAGCATTTTTAAAGACTAAAAACACATCTCTCTCTCTCTCTCTGACTAAAGCTTGAACTTCTCAAAAGGCTTACATCAGCACTAAAACAATGCAAAATCTCAATGCCCTCAGCTGCTTCTCTGGAAGACGGTGGATATGTATCCATGGTTTTTATGACATCCTGTGTTCTGCATTATCATCACAGAACATGTCTGACTCCAATAATGAACTGTAAGCACAAAGAGTGTTTCAATAATTGCAGCATGCATCTGTTAAAGGCCGTCCATTTCATCTGTGAGCCGTGTCTTAACTGCAACTGAGGACTTAATCAGATACAAAAGAGTTCCTCCTTTCTTGCAACATGGCTTGTCAAACACATAAATTTGATTTATGAGACGATGGCAGTTGGATTTTCCCCTCTCACAAAATAAATCATGCCAATCGTGGTATATTTAGTTGCAAAGGGTGAGGAACTAGTGAGGTAAGGTCTAAAAGTGAACAGCCAAATAAAGTGAGGACTTTAAGAAAAGATTTTAAAATAGTGAATGAAAGGTAGTTGGTTTCAGTTAGGATAAAAAAGAAAAACAGTCTGAACTCTGAACTAGACAGCTGTCATGCTTTCCTTGTCTTGTTTATAGTTCATAGCACTACTTTCTATGTCACAGTCTCATGCTTATATAAACTTGAACACATTCATCTTTTAAATTTGCTCTGTTTAAACCCGCAAATTCCTCAGGGGGTGGAGCGTGAAGGCATCTGGTGGGAGGGACGGCTTTAAAAAGCAGGAGATGGCCCTGGCTGTGGATTCTTAGTTCATCCAAACACAGGTCTGTTCACAGATTTGTCTATTTTCACTAAACCATCTTAAATCTCCATGCGAGGGACCTCATACGTCAACTGCTTCAATAACTTGGAAGGATGTCTCTTCAATTCCTCGTGCCTTCCTTCCGAGTTTTTCTCGTCTGTGAAGGTCCTCTCCGAGTCCTGCTGCTTCCCATCTTTCGTCCAGTCCTGAGGCACAAGGATAATCTTGGGAGTGTCCCACAGACTCAGCCGACAGGCTTCGGCTTGACAGCATGCTACTTAAGCTGGACTGTCGGCCTCCTCTTGGATGGGTTTCAATTTCTACGCACACTTCAATATTTGTTCCTTCCCTGCTGTAAATCCAAAAAAAAAATACAAAATTATTTGTTTGCAGATGCATTGAAAAATACTAATCAGAAGATACTCAATACTTACCTGAAAGTAGGCAATTGTGTTTCATCTAGTCTGCTGTCAGGCACACTTGCAACCTCACAGTCAGACAGGCTGTCCTGCTGGGTATATCCATGGCGTTTTGTGGCTTCATCCAATCCCACATATCTATCTAAGTCTGGGGGTACAGTGCTCGTACTTGGTAGGACGCCCACCTCCTGTACACTGACTCTGACTTCCTGGACACTGGTATCACTGAGGGCTGGGTTGTTCTGGCCCGTCCAGTGATCAGTGACTACATGAGAGAATAGAAGATCTATAAGAGAAGTTGAAACTAAATCAGACGGGGCAGGAATTAGGAATTATATGCTACTTTGTGTTGGTCTTCCACATGAAATTCAAGCAGAATTTACTTAAGTTTTCTTGTTAGAATGTTACAAAACATTTACAAGTCATGAATACACTCTGCGAAACATCGTCCACTCACAGCTTGCTAAGTCTTCCAGCTGTATTTTGTTAGTCTCGGGAGGGTCACTCTGGGGTCGACACCAGCCGTTCCTACAGAGCGACATGGGAACGACCCCATAGACATACGTCAGCATTAGTGGCACTCCCACACCTGAAAGACAACAAAGTATGCAATGTTAAATTTGTGAAGCATTTTCAAAGTAGGTTTGTCAATGAAGGCAGAAAATCTGAACATCATACAACACACTGAATGTGACCCATGGTTTTCCCATTTACGCTTCCTAAATTTTCACACCTTTCCATAGTGGATAGCTTGTTTATGATTTTGCATGTGTTGTCCAGTATTTTCCAAATAATTCTAATAAAAAGTAAGTAAACATCTTGGCTAAATAATATTGTGGATTACTCAAACTAAAAGCAGGTCTCTGCATATCTTACAGATTTTACAGAAGAGGCAGTTCTGTCCTGCTCATGTCATTGAGGCTAATCTGTATAAATAAAAAGTGAAATAAAGTAAAGTTTTTATTTACAGAACCATAATTTTACAAAATGTAGACGTGCAACACAGGTTTATTGTTTTATTCTACAGCAAACCAGCTTCCATCAAGGACAATGCGAAGATGTAAAGTAAGATAAATTGGAAGTTAAAATTCTTCAGGATAAATTGATTTTATTTTTTTTGAAAAACCAAAAACAAAAGCATAATACTTTTTTTAAAAAAATCATTTTAAACAATTTAAAAAGCTACACAAAACTAACACAAGGGGGAGCCATTCCTTTCTAATTCTAAACTGGAAGATGAAAGGAGATTTTTTTGTCAGGCGAACATCCAGAGTACAAATTAATCACACCATAAATGTCAAATTACTTTTTACATGTTTGATTTGTGCCCACTTGTTTTCAGAACCTTCAACAAAGTGCTTTCAGCAAGGCGATGATCAGCAACCTCACCATGCTGCGTGATTATGCAACTCCGTGCCGTGTACGATAGGAATTTGGGAACACAAAGCAGAGCTCCAAATAAACAAAGGGACATCATTAACGCAGCCAGAACACTGGGTCGCTATTGACTCAGCAAGAGTGTTAGAGCAGGGTAGGAGAACAAACGAGTCGACCAAGCAATTCAGAGAGAGAAAGGAGAGAGAGAGGAGAGAAAGAAGAGAACGTGTTGGATTTTAAGTGCGTCTCAGACACAAAGCAAAAACAATAACACATTTTGTGCTGCAAATATGGTGAACAAAATAAAAGTTGATCAGCAGTAACAACACAAGATGTAAGAGGTGTTAATGGAAAAACACAAGGAATCAGAAGTAGGGATAGAAAGCTGGTGCAGCGTAATTTGTTAAAGTATGTGTTCCAATGGGAGATCACTCATCGTGATGCAAAAACTATTATGAAGATGTGGAAATAATTTAAACATCAGCTTGTGAGAATTTATACACCTTGCATTGTTGTAGTTATGTGATTTATTTGTGGTTTGCAAATAAATCCAGGTATGTATAGGGGTACTGGAAATCACATTATTAGTCTGTTGTTTTTGAAATTGGGGTATGAATTAAAAAGGGGTTAGTATAT